CATTTGTCAGCCACCCGATGTAGGTGCTAGGAACGGACCCCAGGCCCTCTGCAGGAGCAAGCATTCTTAACCATTTCCTAGTCTCTCCAGCACTAGCCTTTGGGTTTTTGAGAGAGAGTCTTGCTTTCTAGCTAGTCCAAGCTGGCCTTAAGCTCACAGGCTTCCTGCCCCAGCCTCCTGAGGGCTGGGATTTCAGGGACTCACCTGCATGCTCATCTCAGACTTAAACTCAGTTTGAAAGTATCCTTAATTTGTAGTACCTTAAGTTGTTATTGAGTGTGTATTTGTATGTGTGTTTGTATTTGTATGTGTGCTTGTGTGTGTTTGTATGTGTGGATGCTGAGAATGTGTGTGCATGTGCATATGCATGTGTGTGTTTGGTGGTGCTGTACATTTTACCCAGATCCATATGTACACTAGGTAAAAACTCTCCCACGGGATGGCATTCCCCAACTCTACAGTTGGTTTTGTTTGCAACAGAGCCTCTTTTCACAGTGCGGGCTAGCCTCAAACTCCTGCTTCCTCACTCAGCCTTACACATGCTGAGTTACAAGTGTACATCATCATGCCTGGCTTTGTAGTCCAACATTTATAGTCAAATTTATGTTTAAAAATTATTTACTTTTTATTTATGTGTGTTGGTACTTTGGCTGCATGTGTGTGTGTGCACCACGTGTGTTCCTGGAGCCCATGGATGCCAGAAGACAGATGTTGAATCCCCTGGACTGCAGTTAGAGATTATCGTAAGCCACCACGTGGGAGCTGGGACTCGAACACAGCTCCTTCAGCAGCGTGGCCTGTGCTCTTAACTGCTGAGCCATCACTTCATCCCTAGCTTTTTAATGGTGTGTGTGTGTATGTGTGTATTGTGTGCACACACGGCATAGCACACAAATGGCAGCTGGAAAAACAGCTTACAGGAGCTGGTTCTCTCCTACCATGTGGGTCTTGGGAATCAAACTTAAGTGTTAGGCACGTTTAGCTGCTGAGCCACCTTGTTGGCCTGTATAGTTTAGAAAGGTGAAAGATTGGAAGTGTGTGTGTATGTGTGTCTGTGTGCATGTGAGTGCTGGACACTAACAAAGACCTCATTTGTGCTGGGCAGGCATTCAACCACTGGTTATATCCCAAGCCCCCAACATTGTTTGTCTATTTGTTTATTTTAGTCCAATTGTGTTGGTGGTCAGGGAATTGGGAATGGTTTTTGTTTGTGGTTTTGTTTTGCTTTTTATCTCAGAACACACTGGCAAGTATTTATTGAACGTATCCTATGCTTTCAGTGTTTTTGGTATGAAGAGTTTGTATGGAAAACCTATAAAGAACAAAACAAAAATTACAAGCAAATGCATGCATTTATTTGGGTTGATGGTCAGCATGAAACCAGTCTGCCACAATGTCCTTTTCTGTTTGTCTCCCTTCTTTTTACACTTTGGGATGGATCTCAAGACATAGATGAGTGTGAAGATTCTGGCCTGTGCAGACATGGAGGTCGGTGTGTCAATACTCCTGGGAGCTTTGAATGCTACTGCATGGAAGGGTATGTGGCAAAGAATGGGCCTGAGCCTTTCCACCCACGCATGGATGCGACATCATGCACAGGTAGGTGCCAGGGAAGCAGTACCTGAAGGTGAGGTCTGGTAGGTATGATTTTCTCATGTTCTGACATTTATAGGTCTGCATTGGAGGTATGAGTTTGCATTACCTTCACATATTTTTATGAAATAAAATAAATGACCCAATCAAGATAGAAAGGGCCGTGTTTTAAAAAGCTAAAGAAGCCAGGCAGTGGTGGAACATGCCTTTAATCCCAGCACTCCGGAGGCAGAGGCAGGCAGATCTCTGTGAGTTTGAGGCCAGCCTGGTCTACAGATAGAGTTCCAGGACAGCCAGGGCTACACAGAGAAACCATGTTTGTGTGTGTGTGTATGTGGGGAGACACCACTAAAGATGAGGGATTAATATTTTGGTATTAACTGTTGCCTGTTAGGTCTGGTAAGAACCCAGCATCTCCAAAGTGACTTTGGAAATTAAGAAAGTGCATCTAATTTAAGGTAGTTTGCAGTCAGATTTTTACTTCATTGGACAAGGCATGAGCATGGGTCAGAGCTGATGGCTAAATTCTGTTTTGTGCATGTGTAGTGGTGTGTGGAGCACCAGAAGTGCAATAAAGACAACATTGGAAATGTGCTCAGAAACGTCGTGGACATGAATCTCACACAGGGCCTGGGGGTGTGAGGCACGGGGTATAGGTGCAGAGAGATGGTGGATTCTGAAAATTTGCATTGGTAAAGTAAAGAAGTTGACACGGTTTTGTTTTCAGAAATAGACTGTGGCATCCCTCCTGAAGTTCCTGGGGCCTATGTCGTGGGAAGCTACAGCTCCACACTGGGCGGCCAGGCCCATTACAGCTGCAAAGAAGGGTTTCTCAGCGTCTCAGGAGATAGAGTTTCACGATGCACAGCCCTGGGCGTGTGGGAACCTCCAAAGTTACATTGCCAAGGTGGGTCTTTAAAAGCCTCAACTTTCTGCTTATAGTGTCCTTAGCTGCTTTTTCAGTTTCCCTCTGGGATAGTAAATGCATTCAATAAATCCGATACGTCGTATTTGTTTCTGGCAGGGTTTTGTTTCTCTAATATTTTTCAGGGTCTGTATTTTAGTGTCTGCAAACAATGACCCTTTCTTTTGTTCTGCATTTATTACATTTTTATATTATAGGGGCTTGGCCAGTGTTTCCAGAATGAAAAACCTAAGCAACGGTGCTGACACTGAAAATTTTTTAATCTTATTTTTGACTTGTATGAAAATGATTTTGATGTTTCAAAATGAATTCAGCTTTTTTAAAAATGCAAATTTACCTTTATTTATTTATGTGTGTATGTATACGTATGCATGTGTACAGGTGTGTGTGTACACATTGCACAGTGTGTGTGTAGAGGTCAGAAGACAACCTGATGGAGTCAGTCTTCTCCTCTCATGTGTGTCCCAGGGATCCAGCTGAGGTCATCAGACTTGGCAGTGAGTGCCCTTTACCCACCGAGATGTTCCACTGGCTGTGATCTCAGCCTTTGATGTGTGGATACCGACCTATTTAAGAACTGTATGTAGCACTGTGTGCTGCGTACATTCTAAGCAAGTTCCCTGAACTGACTCATTCAGTCTTTAGACGGTCCCTGTGTATAGACACTCCGGTGAGAAGGCTACCCTCTTCTAGGCGTCCAGGTTTACTTGCTTAAGGTCACACGGTCAGGGCCAGAACTGAAATTAGACGCCAGAGATGGGTTTTCAGTCACTCTGCTGTTTCCTATGTTGTTTACTATTGTAATTATTTTTGAACTTTCTACTTTCTCATCTCCAGTGATTTCCAGTTCAACAGTCCCTGGGTTTTCCAGTAATCTTAAGGAGTGCTCATCCGTGTTCACTTTACTGGTTTGTTTTTTAAATCAGACACTAGCTATTTGCTATCATGCCTTTTTAAGCATGTAAGGTGACTTTGTATATTTTGACATCAAGGTGACCCTGTACATTTTATTTATTTTTTATTTTTTTGTTTTTTTTTTGAGACAGGGTTTCTCTGTATAGCCCTGGCTGTCCTGGAACTCACTCTGTAGACCAGGCTGGCCTCGAACTCAGAAATCCACCTGCCTCTGCCTCCCAAGTGCTAGGATTAAAGGCGTGGGCCACCACCGCCCAGCAGTACATTTTCTTTTAATCAGTAATATGAGTGTCACCAATACATTTCATGATAATGATTAGTGTCATCAGGATGAATTCTTTTTGAGGCTTTGGCTTCTTATTATTTTAATCAGGATTGTATTTGCTAAATACTACTTAGAATTCTTCACTGATACCCAAAGGGATGCCATTTTTGTTATATTTAGTATCAATGGCATTCGGAATTTAAAAATATCAAAGCATTTTTTCCCTTGCTCTGTAGGATTTTTAAAGATTTGGGAGATTTCATTTGGAAAACCATCTGGATGTGACACTTTTGGGCATATTTTAGCCCTTGAAGTATTTTTAAAACTCTGATTTTGAGGATCATCTCTATGGGTAGCAATCCTGGGTAATCTTTGCCTTATATACTTACTAGATTGAAGGGACTTTTGACATATATTTAAAAAGTAACCATTATAGTTAATATTGATGGTCAGTTGACAGGATCTAGAATCATCAAGGAGATAAGACTATGACTGTATCCGTGAGGGATTTCCCTAGATACGAGTAACTGAAATAAGTGCCTCACCTTGACTCTAAGGCGCGTCCTCCCATAGGCTGGGGTCTTGGGTTAAAGGAGATCACTCATTGAGCACAAACATCCCCTGCTCCTTCCCTCCTGGCTGTGGATACAGCGTGATCAGCTACCCCCACCCCCAACCATAACCCTACCTTCTGCTGCCATGCCTTCTACTGGGATGGACTGTATCCCTTCACCTCATGAGACAAAATCAGCCTTCTCTTTCTTTCAGTTGCATTTGTCAGGTGTTTTATCACAGCAACAAGAACATAATATGATAATGATAACAAAAGAAAATCTTAATTTTCATTGAATTTATTGTATGGCTAAGTTAATCTTGATGCTGTTTTGACTTACTGGGATTTTAAATATGTTTAGATATGTTTTTTTTTATCATCCTTAGAGTTAAGGGGCTGGACAGTGGTGACACATGCCTTTAATCTCAATCTTGAAAAACAAACAAACACAAAGTTATAAGGGTATATTAATTATTAGATTATCTTTCAGTGGATCAGTTTCCTCCATTTATCTACCTCTGATATCTATTTTATTTCCCCTTCTGAGAAAGAGTCAACCTTCCTCCCTTGGGCCTTCCTTGTTATTTGGCTTCTTTGGGTCTGTGATTGTAGTGTGGGTATCCTGTACTTTATGACTAATATCCACTTATCAGTGACCACATACCATGCTTGTCCTTTTGGGTCTGGGTTATCTCATTCAGGATGATATTTTCTAGTTCCATCCATTTGCCTGCAAAATTTATGATGTCCTTGTTTTTGATAGCTGAGTAGTATTCCTGTGTGTAAATGAACTACATTTTCTGTATCCATTCTTCAGTTGGGGACATCTGGGTTGTTTCCAGTTTCTGCCTATTATGAATAAAGCTGTGTGAACATAGAGACGCAAGTGTCCTTGTGGGATGGTGAGGCATCTTTTGGGTATATGCCCAGGAGGGGTATAGCTGAGTCTTGAGGTAGATCTATTCCCAATTTTCTGAGGAACTGCTGAATTGATTTCCAGAGTGGTTGTACAAGCTTGCACTCCCACCAGCAATGGAGGAGTGTTCCTCTTGCTCCACATCTTCACCAGGATGTGCTGTCACTTGAGTTTTTGATTTTAGCCATTCTGATGGGTGTTTAAAAAAAAAGAAAAAGAAGAAAAAGAACAGGTAAATTGGGGCTGGACAGATGGCTCAGCGGTTAAGTGCATGAACTACTCTTACAGAGGACCCAAATCCAGTTCCCAGTGTCAACATCAAGTGACTCAAAATCGCCTGCCACTCTGTCTCCAGAGGATCCCACATTACTGTCCCTCATGGGCACTTGTACAGACACACACCCATACACATAATTAAAATTAATAAGACAATAGATATTTTTAAAAGAATGGGGAAGTGATCTGAATAAATGTTTCTCGAAAGAGTACTGGCAGCTATGTGGGGAAAGTGCCCTAGTACTAATCATGAGGGACATGTGAATTCATCTCTACAATCCTACCGTCTTAGCCCAAATGCAGAGAAGGGGAGGAAGATGGAGAACTCTTGACGGGAATGTCAATTAGTGAAGCCACTATAGAAAGCACATACACACACACACACACACACACACACACACACACAAACTAAGGAGGTTCCTCCAAAACGAAAACTAGAACTACCATATGGGCTAGTTGTCCCACTATTGAGCACACGCCCAAAGGAAATGAAGTCAGCAAATCGAGGAGACACCTGCATGCACATTCCTAATACAGCCACGCTCCCAGCAAGTAGTCAAGGCATACTCAATACTGGTGTCCATCAGCAAATGAACAAAGACTGTTGTGTATTCAAATATACAGTGGACTACTGCACAGTCACAAAACAAAGCAAATGCTGTCATTTGTAGCAACATGAATAGAACTGGAGGAAGCTGTTAAGTGAAATGAGCCAGGCACAGAAAGCCGAACACTATATGATCTCACTTACATGATGATCTGAGAAGTTCATCTCAGGCCAGTGAAGTAGCTCAGCAGGTAAAGGTACTTACTGCCAAGCTTGACAAACGGAGTGTGACCCAAGGTCCACATGGTGGAAGGAGAGAACCTACTTCTGCAAGCAGCCCTCTGACTTCCACGTGGTGTCATTACACACACACACACATACACACACACAAGCACACACACATATACACACACATACATACAAACACACACATGAACACATATATACAAACACATACATATGAACACATACACACAAACACATACACACACACAAACACATAAACACATACACACACGTACACACACAAACACACACATGCATACACACATACAAACACACACAAACACACACACATACATACATACAAACACACACAAACACACACACATACATACATACACAAAACACACACGTACACACACATACAAGCACACATACATACAAACACAAATATACACATGCACACACAATCACAAATATACACATGTACACACAAATACATATACACACACAAACACATACACTAAACAAACAGACAAACACAATAAAAGCCTTGGCATAAAAAAGCTTAAGATTAAGCTGGGCATGGGAGTGCATACCTTTAAACACAGCAGAGGAAGGAGGATCTCTGTGAGTTTGAGGCCAGCCTGGTCTACATAGAGAGATCCAGGATAGCCAGGGCTATATAGAAAGACCTTGTCTCAAACAAAAGAAAAGAAAAGAAAAGAAAAGAAAAGAAAAGAAACAAAAAAGCTTAAGATTAAAACAACCTAAACAGGGGCTGGAGAGATGGCTCAGTGGTTAAAAACACTGACTGTTCTTCCAGAGGTCCTGGGTTCAATTCTCAGCAACCTCATGGTGACTTACAAACATCTGTAATGGGATCGGATGCCCTCTTCTGGTGTGTCTGAAGACAGCTACAGTGTACTCATATACATAAAATAAATAAATCTTAAAAAAAAAACCAACTTAAACTTTCTCTCCTTGAAGTAGAAAGTAAAGCACTGGTGATGGGATTAGGAAGTGCTCTGTAAGAGGTCCGCGGGAAGCCATCCACCCGATTCGTTGAAACAGGATCTCTCACTGTTATTTTCTTGCTTCAAAATGTTTGTTTCTTTTAAAAATAACAAATAGTATTTAATGTATTCTCTGAGGCCCTCATGCAATGCATTAACCGTATTCACCTCCGCACTCCTTCTCCTAACTCCTCCTAGGCCCATTCCCTTCCTCCTGCTGTTATGCCCAGTTGAACCCCGAAGACCACTGAGAACCGAGTTCTGATACACAC